TGTTAATACAAAAAAAATGACGAACTAAGACTCACTTTCACACATTGGTATGATAATTGTGGATCTAACTGGTGTTGCATAAGACTGTTGGACAGAATCCATTGGTTGGCAATTATTGATTATGAAAAAAACAATCTAATACGTAGGAAAGAGCTTAGGAAGAAAGCTACGCTAGACTAAAATAGTTTCCCTAATATCAAATTTTCTGTGCTTAAAAATATCTTCTATTTAATCACAGGAGCATCTGAAATGATACAGCCCAGACATACATTTATTTGCAATCTCTATCACAACAAGGACTAAGTAAACAGAAAGAATCCAAAACATTACAAGGGTCATTTAACTTGATGGATGTTAACAGCTGAACCATATAGAGGAAAGTTCATCAGTGGACAAGACAAGAGAATCTTTAACACAGTTTATGAGCCTACCTTTGGACGAGTCCAAGTGTTGCCAAAAACTGATGAACCATATAAATTTTATTGACTCTTCTATTCTTTATGTTTTTTCAAAATGCAGGTAAGAGTTTGTTTTAATGTAGCATGGAAAAAGGGAATTCTAACAGATGTCACTATTTGTGTTGAAAGCCAAAGCTGGAATTAATCAAAGTCAGTAGTTCTTCAATTAATTGACATAGCTTACAAGGATGTAACTGAGACCACAAACCCCTAATGCCAATTTCAGCCCAAGTTTACCCCAGAATACATGCTTGTTTGCCTACCTGTAAATAATTAAATTTGGATATATGGATACAAAACCAGAAAAACAGATGCCCAAAACTGCAAAATAATGTAACGAGCGTTCTTCTAAAGTAACTTACTGAAGTCTTGTGCTCAGTAACCAGCACCAACTTTCTACGTAAAAGTTTAAAAGTGATATTTTGTGTAGTTGAGCAAAAAAAGTGGTCCCAATGCTATCCTTTCAAAAAATGTCTTTGGGGAAAGCATGACAGATCCAGGTCCAACATTATACTGGAAGAAGATAGGGTCAACTGGTAGGCATCAGCCATAAGTGCTCTGGTTCACAACATGGAACATGATGCTGAGACTTGTGTGCCTTAGATTCGTGCTGGGACTCCCTTGTATACAGAGCGTGAAGCTTGAAGCATAACACTCAACAGTAGAAGGGATCAGTTTATTGAAAATAAAGCTCTAAGATGTGGGAACTACTCTTTTTTTCCCTTTCTCTGGGACACACATTTGACTGCAGATTGCATCTACAACTATTAATTTGTAACCATTCCCTAGAAAGCTACCAAGAGGGCAAACTTTGATTTGAATTAAGAGGCTGGGCATAATGACCTGGAAAATCATTTCTTATCCATAACAATCTGGCCTACCCAACAGTCAAGGCCATTTCAACCCAGAAGCAAACATTTCTTAACTTCTTTAGCATAAATCAAGAGGACAATGTTCCCTTCATAATCTGAAATTAACACTATCTCCACCACTATCTGTAGTTGTCTGTTATTATTAGATTTGTACCCTGCTTTTCTGTTGTATAATTCAAAGTGGCATACATAATGTTCTCAACTTCCTATTGTTCTCAACACCAACCCTGTGGGGTAAAGTGGGGTTAGCCAATATAGAATGACTGACCAAAGTCACCCAGCCAGCTTTCGTGCCTAAGGGAGGATTAGAACTCATTATCTCCTGGTTTCTAACCCAGCTATTTCACCAAACTGACTCTCTGTTAGATGTTTACTATGGTATTACCAAAGAAAACTGAAAAGATTTTTACATATGTAAGTGGGACAATTATTCCTTCTTGATTTAAAAAATGATAACATCTTTTGTATAATGCAAGGGATTAAGTAAACAAAGTTGGAGTTCCAAGTATGGGTTTCAGGTCTTCTCTTTATTACGCTACTACCTCATGCAATTTGTAAAGCACACTTTCACATACAAAACTAATAAGCGCCTTTTAACACTGACCTCTAAATAATCCTGCCAAACCAGAACAACCAGATTATTCAGCATTGTATTTTACACAGGCTTCTTCAGTGAAAATTCCTTATTTTGTTACTCAATATAAACAGTCCAAAGCTTCTAGGAATCTCATTTTTATCACCGTTTTTCCTTACTCCGCCTCAGTCTTTTTATTCTCCTTTTATTCTCTATTTGAAGTTAAATCCATGTTTTTCCTAATTGAAAGTGCTGACCGTGGAGCTTGCAAGCCATTCTTTGTAAAATATTCTTCACAAAGTATTCTATTATTCATTGTATTTTAGATTTTATATCAATAAGCAACCGCTTTTTGCTGATATTAAAACAAAGATGGTGACTGCATGACATTATTCTTAAATACAGGAATTAAAGGTAACACCACCAGCAACTGTACAAGCTAAAAAGGGGCCCTGGAGGTTATCCAGTCCAACCTTCTGCTCCAACAGGAAACTCTATACCAGTTTAGACAAATGGTTGTCCAATCTCTTCTTAAAAACCTCCAGCGTTGGAGCGGATCATAAAGGCTCTTTTTAACTTTGATGCCTAATGGCAATGAAGAAATTGAGGACTGAACGTAAGAGCCACAAATATTAAGGGTTTTAAAATTATGCACATTGAGGTCCAAAAAATAAAGTATCTGAACAGTTGAAAAACAAGCTACTAATAATACAAACAACTATTATGCATGTGCATAAAATTAGAATATAACAAAAAAACATCAGTTTGTACTGAAATAATTAAATTAATGCAGAATAAAGAATTGCTCTGAAAATGCTTCCTTTTTTAGATTCTAAGATTTACATTGCTCCAAAAGAACTCACTCCAAGATGAACATGTTTAAAATCTTGCAATACTTTTTTGAAAAATGTTATGTAAAGCTAGAGCACTATTAATTTCAGTAGGGTTCTTTCATGTGTTGAAGTAAATATAACAGGTGAGATACCACAAAATTAACTGACAAAAAAAATCAATTAAAAAAATCAAAGTCAACAATCATATGCAATCATTTGTGAACTAGATTTACACCAAGTTTCTATAGTCTACCATATTGTAATAAACGTAAAAGTTCCTATAAACACTTCTGATGGAAATAAAATCTTCATGTCTGCATCATTTTAACAGGTACTTTACTTTCTTTAACCTTTTCCTATTTTATCCAGCTGTGAATTGTTTTCTTTTAAAATAAAGCAATGACCTCATAAAACTCCCAATCTATGGGAAAATAATACGCCAGACAATGGGTGGAAGTTTTTTTGGCTCAGCCAGTTTAGGAAAAATGGTTTATGTTTCTCAAAATCCAACCCAAAAAAACAAGCCATCAAAACTATAGGATATATTGTTGCTCAGTGGGGTTGTATCTAAATATACAAGGGTCACAATGAATAAAATAGGGTCTGACTTCCAAGTAAATTAAGAATCAGATCAAGTTGTGAGTGTCATTGTTTTAGCAGCATGGACCCAGAGCCTTTTTGGAATCTATTTACAAAACTCAACACTCTGCATTTCTAATTATTCTTTTTGAGTACTATGTTAAACTGCTCTAACTATTAAAGACGCTGCTACATCCACACACATTACTCCAAAACCCATGCTAGTGCGACTGATCTTTGAGAAATATACTGAATTTCATAGAATTGAAGAGGTAGATTTTTTTTAAATTCCAACCCAATAATTTTCAGACAGCAATCCTAGTCAATCCTGCTGCCTAGTCAAACTCTACTAAAAATGCTACCAATGGCAAAGAAAACCATGCTGCTTATGAAAACGAGGGTACCCCTTAACACACAAGTGCCATCTACTTACAATGTTTCTTGTCAATGATTAGCCTCATTTTGAGTTATCAAAACCGCTGGCTCGAAGCAGGCAATCCAAGTCTGTGTGACTTTTTTTTTTTTTTACATCCCCCAAAAAACGGGCCCAGCGCTTTTGTCAAGGGCACATTTTATACAACCAATCCAGGCTGAGAAAACCTCTCGTTTTAGCGCTTCTGCAAACAGAAGAAGAGGGAGATTTCCCCGAGACCAGCCCACACCTTCCCAGCCTCCTGATTGGTCAAGCCCGGGACCGGCCTACGTGGGATCAGTGGGTGTGCACCCGGAGGACGCGCTCCTATTGGCTGAGCCCGAGACGGTATTTAATGAACTGATGTTTGGGGCGGCGGAACAAGAAAAAGCAGCAGCTCGTCGCGAGGCAGAAGCGCCGGAGCCGCTTCTCGGGAGTTGAAGGGACACCCCGGGGGGCGGGGGCGAGGGGGGGGCATCAGATCCTCTACCCAGAAACGGCATCACCGGCGAAAAATAATAATAATAATAATAATCAACGACTTTAAAAAGATGATTTTGGGGGGGGGGGGGGGGGTTTTTTTTGGGAAAAAAATTTTTTTGGGGGAAAAAGGATAATTTGGGGGGGGAATGATTTTTTGGGGGGAAAAGAGGATTTTGAGTGGGAAAAAGATGATTTTTAGGGGCAAAAAGATGATTTGGGGGGGTGATTTTGGGGGGAAAGGATTTTTTGGGGAAAAATGATGGTTTTTTTGGGGGAAAGATAATTTTGGGGGAGAAAAATGATGGGGTTTTTAGGGGAGAAAAGATGGGTTTTGGGGGGGTGGAGGGGGGGGTTGTTGTTCTTTATTGCATCAAAATAACCTTCGCGTTTGCAGCGAGCAAATGAACTCTCGCTTGCGCCAAGCCCTCGCTTGCTTCTTTTCATCGCACGTGTGAATGAATGCGCTTTTTGGTTTGTTTGTTTTTGGGTGGAAACATTCGGATGGCACATAAGACACGTGAGCCGGGCGAACCTGCCGCCGGTCTCATTCACAGCTTGTTAAGTTTCTGCCCCCACCCCCAGCCCCCCTCCTCCCCCTTTAAAACGAAGACAGCCGAGACCGGTCGGGGGAAAGGGAGAGAGATCCGTGGAAGGCGAAGGAAACCCGCCGGCAGCGATGCGCCCGGGGCGACTCTTCGCTTGCAAGGACCCCCCCCGCACCCGGGTTGGTCTCCCCGTGCCGTCCCGCGCCCCCCTGCCGAACCGGACCCTCGCCCAGCCTTCACTTACGCGGCCTGTTCTTTCTGCCCGAATCCATCCTCCGCCGCGCCCTGCTTTTCTTCGCCGACGACTCGTGGCTGGAGAGCGGCAGGTCGGCGCGAAAATGCAACGGGTGGGAAGCCTCGCCATTGCCGGCCAGAGGGTGGAAGCCGTTGTGCAGCGGCAGCCCGTTGTGCAGCGAGCAGGTGGGGGGAGCCGCCGCCGCCGCCGCCGAAGAAGAGACGCCGGCTTGGCCTCGTAGTCTCTCCCCCATGGCGCCGGCTTGCAACCGCCGCCGCCGCCTCCCCGAGGCCCGCCGCTCGTCCTTTGTCCCTCGCTCGTCCTTCTCCCCGCCGCGGAACCAGGCGAGGGGCAGCGTCCCGCGGCGCCCACCCTGCTGGGTCTCCCCGCAGCAGCGGCCGGGGGCGCCGCCTCCTCCTCCTCCTTCACTGCTGCCGCCGCCCTCCCGAGGCAGCGCCGAGCGCAGGCGTCCGGCCCACCGCAGGAGGAGGAAGAGGAGGAGGAGGAGGAAGGGAACGCCGGGCGAAGGATTGCTGGGAAGGGGGGCGGTGGCAGAGCCGCAGAGCCGCTTTGCCTCCTTCCCGAATGTGGGGCGTGACCCACCGGCTCCCTCGCCCGCCCGCGCGCAGCGGGTCCCGGGGGTGGGGGGTGGGGGGAAGAAGAGGAGCTTTTGCCCGCCCGGAGGAGACTTGCGAGCGCCCCGTTCTCGGAGAAAAGAAGAAGGAGCCGGGCTCTCTCGCAAACCGACCGACCGACCGAGAAGCCGGCCTGGTTTTGCTCTCCAGGACGAGAAACCCGCCCGCGCGCCACTGCGCATCCCGGGCAGAGCTCAGCAAAGGGGGAAGCACTTGGAAGCCAAAGGAAAGGATTGAAGAAAAAGGAAACATTAAAGGAACCGCCCCCCCCCCAAAAAAAACCCTATTTATTGTAAATCTCCATCCTGGCATCCAAGTTTCTGACAGTGATTCTTCCTTTCCCCCGATTAACGGCTAGATTGCCTTTTGTTCCTTCAATTTCTCCCCTCTCTTTCCAAAGCTTAGCCCAAAGGTGCTTCCCTCCTCCCCCCCTCCCCCCCAGGAGGCAACTGGATTCTTGTTTTCTTTCTTTGAAGACCTTTTGCTTCAAATGTAGAATAGAATAGAATTCTTTATTGGCCAAGTGTGATTGGGCATACAAAGATTTTTTCTTGGTGCAAATGCTCTCAGTGTGCATAAAAGAAAAGATACATTCG